TTAACACAGGCTCAAATCAATGGAGTCAATCAATCAGGGACTGGACTTCTAAAACTATGAGCAAAATAAAGCTTTTCTATTTACAATTTGACTTATCTCAGGTATTTTTTACCTGAGAAAGCTAACATAAATGCTGAAAATTACCTCCTAAAAATATTGCCTCTTTATCATTCCTTCAAATCTCTTCTAGAATTCTCAACAAATATATGTGAGATATTCTCAATCCATTTTCAATATCTCTAAACTATTTTTTTTTTAATTTTGGTTCCGACACTTTTCTTATTTACCAGCTTCTGGCTAACTATTTCACTATTTAGTTGTGTCTAACCTAAAATTCCTCTCATCTAGATTTCTTTAAAATTGCTCTATTTAAGGCTATGATTAATTCTTCTATATATCTTCCATTTTTAGTGTTTTTCATTGTCTTAATATATTATTATTCACATTTTATAAATTTATTTCTTTCCATAACATTTTAGCATCTTAAATGTAATTACTGCAGTATTTGTCAACTAGTCCAGGTAATTTTATATGCACTTTGGTTGTTCAGACATGAGTTTAGTAATAGAAATACTTAGGGCTTCTAGTTCAAACTCACATTGAAGATACTGGGATCTGGTCCCTGAACCAAGGAAACAGGTTGGTTCAGGTGTGAACATAAAATTATATCTGTGTCCAGTTGTTGTTCAAAGCCAAAATCTTTCTATAAATATCATTATTAGACTTTATCTTAGTTTTTATGTTTTCTTTCATAAGTAAGACAGTTACTTCTTGTCTGCTTAAAGCTGCAAACCTGTCTCAGGTCTGCACTATTATTCCTCTTTACCTGTAGCTGCTGATCCTCCAGCCTTGCTGGTCCCATAATCCAGAGTTCTGCAACCTTGACCATCAACAGCATTGTTGTTTTCTCTTTCTTAAATTTTAGCTACTACTGTTTCAGAATAAGGACATGGGATCCACCAAACCATGAACTTAATATTCCACCTTCACTAGAATCTGTTTTCCTACTCTAACATACTGAATTGACTACTCAGTTCTTTTATTCATAACGCAGAGTAAGTTGAGAAGATAGCAGAGCAGAGGAGGTCATTTTCCAGGCTGTTCCATGGCATGAAACCAAGAAAACAGATAGGTAACTTCTCATTAAGGTGGGTGAAAAAAGGTTGGGGCAGGGGGCTTTACTGGGAATTAATACTGGACATTCAAAGCAGATCAGGGACTCAGGGGGTTGGATATAATAGAATAAGGAAGAAGTCCCCCCCACCTCCACTTTAAAATGAAATGCATTTAGACATCAGATTTTTACTAAATACTATCAAATTTTAAATAACTTTCTCATTAATTTCATTTTCTCAACAAGCTATAATTATTTTTTATTTCCTCTTTGGCCTAAGAATTATTTAGAAATTTTTGTTCTTTTGCATCCAAAATATGAATCAGTTTTATTCATCAATTTTTCTAATTTTACCCGCCTTTTTTTAATCTGTTCTCTCTCTATATATATATGTTTCCCGCCATATGAGCCATGAAAGAAAAGTCTCAAGTCATCAAAGTTCTGTTTATCTGTCTTCAGGAAGAAACACAAGAAACCCTACCTCAGCAAACCCCAAAGCAGCTTCCTAACTTTCAGTGTCAATAAGATACTGGCTAAAATTCCCCATAGCTGACAATATTACCAATAAAACAAATAGATTTTTAGAAATGCATGCCTGTATTTCATAATATCATTTTATATCATATTTCTATCTTATTCATACTCTGACTATGTGAATTGAAAGAAAAAAGCTTTTCAGGAGACTTATTTATATAGATTTTATTAGGTTCAAACTAATCTATTAAGGCCACTGAGAGTGTACCTCAGAGCCAGAAGTTCCTTGGGGTAAATTTCTACATTTTGTCCTACTTCACATTGTTAGATTCAGTAAAAAATGCAATGAGGAAACAGGAAGGAACATTGAATGAATCTGAATCTACCTCAGCTTCTGACTTAATCTGGTAAATGTCTTTCCCTTTTTGGAGAATGAATGGAAAAGTTAAAATTTGAAACAAGCTCTATGATATGTGAAGTAAAGGGATGTTATAAAAGGCCAATGCCCATATCAATGTCACTCATTGATCCTAACTGCCAGCAGTTTTATGTGAGTTGTTTGATGTTCTGACACCCCTACAGCCAAGTTGAGCTGATGAAAAAGAAAGAGAGAACCAGGCTATGCAGAGACCTAGAAGAAAATCTAACAGGAAGCTCTTCCCCTGACCATGTTGGATTCAAATCACTAATTCTCAAAGTGTTTCTCTGAAATGAGAGCATCAATTTTACCTGGGAGTTCAATAAAAATACATTCAAGGAACCGTTTCATGACATATTGAATCAGATTCTGGGGACAGAGGCTAAAAAACTGGGTGGGGAAAATGGAGAGATAATTGGCCAAAGGTACAAATTTGCAATTATAAAATTAATACATTCTGGGAACCAAACATGCAGGATGGTGACTATATTTAATAATACTATATTGTATACTTGAAATTTGCTGAGTGTAGATCTTAAGATCTTATTATCAACCACTTCCACACACCACAAATGGTAACTATGCAATGTGATAGATATGTTAATTAGCTTAAAGGTTGGCATGTGTGTATTAAATTATCACATTCATTGAATACCTTAAATATATATGATTCTTATCTGTTAAATATACCTCAGTAAAGCTGGGGTTTTAGCTGATATTATTATACTAATAATATCAATATTGTTATTAAAAAAACTTAGAGAAGATAAAGGAAAGAAGTAAGTAATTTGGGCTGGTATTATAGCTGTGTGGTAGAGCACTTGACTAGCACTGGGTTCGATCCTCAGCACTACATAAAAATAAATAAAATAAAAGCATTGTGTTTATCTACAACTAAAAATATATTTTAAAGAGAAAGTAATTTGTTAAAGACATTAGGTAACAGATTTTCAGCATAAAGATACAAAATAAAATCAATCAATTCAAAAATAAATAAATAAAAACTATCCAGGAGATTCTTAGGCACACTAAGGTTTGCAAACCACTGTGATAGAAGAAAAAGTTCAGTTAAGCAAGCTGGGTAGAAAAACAAATTGAAAGATGAGGAGTGAGAACTAATTAGGACGACACAAGAAAATAGTCACTATGCCTTCTAGGAGAGGTGCAGCCATAGCAAAACCATAGACCACGAGAAGAGGAGAACTCAGGGAAGAGATACAGATCTTTGTGAGAATTACTAGAAGGGATTAGGCAGGATTTCAGGAGCCATACAAGCTAGATGGTGTTAAATTTAGTCTGTTCTCAGCAGGGAACTGGATTGCTAAGTAAGTCAACCTAAATTTAAGTCTGTTTATAAAGTTAGAATCAAATTTGATTCTAATATAATCATTAGATGAATAGGGTAGGAGCACTGCTAGAAGTGCTGTACAGATGTCCAGAGTGGCATGCACCCAACAGGTGTATAGCCAACACATTAGGTTTCCTTCATCCCACTAATGGGTAATTGAGAACCTTGACTTAGTTTCTGCTTTGTTCAGCACTGATTGTAAAACTAGTTCAATCATGACAGTGTCTAGCAGGTGGGGAGACAGGATGGTGAGAAAAGACAATAGGGAAAGAGGTACAGGAAACCAACTATGGGATTTTACCTTTGAAAATTCAAGATCTTAATGACACCCACAGTTGCAGGAGAACTGGGGCAGTTGGGAACCCTATACTCAAGTAAATAGCTTTTGATTTTCTAAGGTAGAAATAAATTTTAATTTACTCTTTTTATCTTAAAACCTTGTGAATTAAAAACACCATTACTTTGATAATGATAATCAATTTTCAATTATTCAATTGATTCATGTGTTTTGGAAGTATGTATGTCCAGAAATCTGCACAATTGTGTATTCTTTATGAATTGTGAAACAAAAGTAATTATAAGGCAATGTGAAATTGTGTGTTTTACAATACTACTGTTCAAAAATAAAAAGTTTATATTTTATCTTATATTCAATATGTACTGAGTGGATATGTGTTGAAGAGCTACAGGACATCTGGAGTGACAATGCTTACTGAAACTCAAGGACAAAACTGTGGAGCAGATGTGTTGTGCATGAATTACAAAGTAAAAGAATGAATCACAGAATCACAAAAGTATTGGTCACTAAAGAGATTCCAAACAGGTGCAGGAAAAAGCAATCAACTCTGATCTATTTTGTCAAATTTGAGCACTTATGTCCGATTCTTCTTTACTTGAAAAGAATATTTCAGCTTTTGTTTTATACTTTTGATATGAAGTGCTAATATTCAAATTTTCTCTGATTAATTTTTATAAAAATTATATCTTATAAATAAATCTAAGTTTATAATATCTGTTAATATGACTAAGAGATTTGAGACACATTCACCTAAAGTATGATTCTATAATTATGAGCTTTAGGTTCTAGGTGTCATAAATCAAATCAAAAGATACCTGAATATAAAAGATTGTATTATTCCTTGAAGAGAAACAGCTGCATGGAAGACAGGAATACAATGACTTGCGGTCTTCTCAAAAACTAACATTTTTATATGAATAATGTTCAAAAAAAATTCCTTCCACCAACTCAACAGTGTATAATATGAGGAAGAGAGAAATGATAAAGAGGATTTTTACAGGAGACAATTGTCCTGATAAATTATAGTCTAAAAGCTTGGATCTTCTCAACCAAAAGCTTGGATCTTCTCAACCAAAAGTTGCCTAAATTTTATTTCCTATTGTCCAAAAGAGGCTTTAGGAAAGATATAAATGAGATATAGGTAAATTTATTATATAGTTAGCCAGTAAAAGGAAATAAAGGAAACTCTATTTTAACATCTGAGTCAAGCTATTTTACTTTAAAATAACTTAAATACCTAAAGAAAGGAGAAAGACTGCTTGGATTCTTCACTCTCTCATGTTATGACATGCCTCATATGCTTCAACAACATGTATTAGGACTGAATTTTAAAAAACAATCCTTTACATAAGTTTTTTCATTTATTTGTTTTTAAGATAGATCATCATATAACACAAGGACATTTTCTAATAATAAGTAATTTATACATGGAAGTATTATCAGGTCTTATTATTGATAACATATGGCCACAATACAGTAAACATGAATCTCCAGCAAATTGTAAGAGCACAGCCCTACCCCTATCCTGGGTGCATGCCCAAGACTCACATAAGAGAATAGAGAAGAAACAAATGTTCTTCAGAGTGAGACGTGAAACCCTCCAGTATACAAGTTTCCATGGTTCATTCACAATTAGTTTTAAATGAGTAATTACAAGAAGTTTATGAAGATGAATAACCAAGCACATTGAATTTCCCTTTCCTGACTCCTTGATAAAGAGCTACATAAGATGGATAGATGGTTGGTAGATACATACATCATGCATATATACATGCATAGGTACATAGAATGATCCAATAAGCAAATAATTATCCATATGAAACTTAGGATAAATTATAAGTGGATATGGGAAAGGGAATAGGTAATGAGTATGCTTGGGACAGGAATTGATAGTGGGAGTGGGAGTGGGGATGGAGGTGAAGGAAGTAGTGAAACCCAGATGCCCAGCCTCCTTTGTAGCCCAGAAAGCCCATTGTAATGTTAGCAGCTAATCCCTGCAGTGGATGCTTATCTGCTTCAGCTGTGAGGATCCTAGATGACAAAGTCTCATTCTTCTTCCCTACCTTTGAGTGGCTTGTTGCTGCTCTCAGTGTTGCAGCTCTAAGGCAAACCATGCCCTCCAGGGTTGCAACAGACTTCAGCAATTTACTGCCAACTTCTTTCCATGTTCTAGAAGATTAAAATTCACGGGGCAACCAACAGCAAAAACAAAAGGAATAGGATTGAGTCAAGTGTGTAAAATAGAAACAGGACTCTTGCAGGGGCATCTTGGAGAGACTGTAATAGGGGTTGCTGCTGAGTGTTTTAAGTCTAGAGGTTTACATAGTAGAACTTGGGTCAACAGCTGTTGGTCCAAATTTATGCTAATTAGGGTTTAGAAAAGTACTAATGCTATTGGCTAACCCTTCCATCCCATTCAGTTTTGCCCTACTTTTGTTTTCTCACCAGCCTGTCAGGAAGCAGGAAGTTGAAAGCATGGAATTGTGGGTGCTCAGTTCCAGCTGTGGCACCTTATGGAGCCAGCATTCATACCGTGCCCAAGCCACAAGTCAGCACACCCTGACTTGCCTTGGCCCTGGCTCACTCCCTTTAGGCCAGTGCTGGTATAGCAGGTTCCATGAAGCCGCTGCCTGTGATCCACACCTGCTGCAGCTGGCCCAGGCCCTGGCTTTACAGGCCCAGGATAGGAACTTGGCTTCAATAGTGCCTTTATGGTGGGGAAAAGGTATGAAATGTATAAGATGGAGGCAGAGCTGGTGGGGAGGATAGTTAGTGGATATGGAATGGAAATTAGATAGCAAATGGATTGTTAAAGAGTAGGTATGGGGTAAGGGTCAGAAGATGAATGATTGGGCAGTGGGTGGGTTCGGGGTTGGTGTAAGTGGCAAATGTGTGGGAGGAGTGAGTTGTATAGGCAGTAATGGTGTTGGGGAGAGAGGTAGATAATGCATGTGTTTTGCATAGAAAGTAGATGAGAGTGTTGAGAGGTTAACAAACCTCTAACATTCTCTCAAGTGAGCAGTTGAAAGGAATTAAGTACATGGTAGAAGAGTAGATGTTGAGTAGTAGTAGAGTAGATAGTGGCTAGGTAGAGAGTATGAGACAGGGTGTGATTTTTAAGTCATGAGTGATTGTAGATTTGGACCTGGTTCTTGCAATCACATTTCTTTCAGTTCACTGGACCTGGGATTCGGTCTAAAAACCGTATTTTGATATGAATCTTAAAGCAAGACTTTCGATAGAGTTCAAAGTTCTACAGTAGACCTTGATGCTGGATAGTGAAATAGGCCCTCTTACCTCAGACAAGGACTTCCCCCTTGACAAATTAGAGTTGGACCTAAATCAACATTACTCATGCATTTTGGACCAGAATCTCAGACCTTGATCTTCAACCAAGTGCTGAACCCAGACCTCAGAAGTGGAAGTTGGACCCTGAGCCAGAAACATAGATGTAAAACTCAAACCTGGACTTTTGACGTAGACCTTGTATTAACTTATACTTTTCATCTAAACAAGGACCTGATTTTTGATCCCAGAAATTGGACTAAACTTGATCTTAAGCCTAGATATTGGAACATACTCTGATCTGAACATCAACTCTGACCTTAGGCCACGGAACTTGGATTTGGACCTGGACCTTAAAATTGGGGTTTGGTATTTGTATCTGAACTTTGAATCTGAACATCAAATTTCAAACCTGGACCAATGTCTTGCACCCTGAACTTAATCTTAGACCATGGACCTGGATTTGTCTAGGATTTAGGACATAAAATTAGTCCAGAATTTGGAACCTCACACTTTAACTCTGATATAGAATTTGCAACTTATCTTTTTTTTTTCCATGTGAGCACAGGATAAGCTCCCCACAAAACTGGTTCAGATGTCAATTAATGATGCCAGATGTTCACCAATAGGACATAAAATGTTTACTACTAGTAGAATGAAGCTATGTACATGGTAAGCAGGAAGTGGATTCAAGATAGTCTAAAAGTGGTTGAGAGAGTAAGAAGGAGTTAAGTGGCTTGAGGTTTCATTGTCAGTAAGTGATGAAAATAGAGGGAGGTCATGGGCCAGGTCTTGCATGATTTGAACTTTCTGCCAGTTCCATGAGAGGAAGCACATAGGTTTGCTTATAGGCTTGCTAAGCTATAAGCAAGAGGAAAAGGGAGGAAACTGAGACTTAAAAGCTGTCGGTAGTTAAACATTAAAAATGCAGTAAGACTCTTTGTTTCAATTCACCTCTGATGAATGACTAATGGCTGAAATATGCCATAGTTCTAATAATTGAATTTAAACTTGTTTAAGTAAGCCATTACAATGCTTTATGAGGTCTATAGCCTGAATCCAGTAAGGGAAATAAAATTTCCATTGAATGCCAAGTTCAAGAACCAACATAGTATATTTTCAGAAGCAAAATGAGTTCCTTGGCCACTATTCCCTAAACTTTGAAGGGGATGAGAAGTACCTGAATTATGTGTTGATCTATAAATGACTTTGGTATGTATTTAAATAGCTGTAAGACAAGAAAACCAGAGTTTGTTACCCCAAAGATGGTAGAAAAGGAACTTCTGTTGCCACTGATTAAATTGGTCCATAAAACTATGCAGTTATGGCTGACTGTTCAATGGAACATACAGTGCAGAGATGCCTGCCTGTAGTTCAGCCCATTGTGCTGAACATTTAATCCCAGATTTTATTTTAAAGTTTCAACTAAGGGGTGACCAGCAACATCTCTCCAGAAGACTATGGTATATGTAATATTGGTAATTCCAGCAACAAAATATTCCATCTCTCCATCTTATTAACTCAGGGGACCTGAGGTAACCAGGAGAGGGATGATTTCATCCAGTACCTTATGGCAAAGGACTAAGGACAAGGATAAAGCCACTTTCTTCTGTGGAAGGGATATGACAAATGGTCTCACTATATCTTAAGGAAGGATATTTTTGCTTGAGAAAGGTTTAAGTGGCAATGAAAAGCCTTCAGGGTACTCTTTTCATGAGATACAGAATAATGAGAAGCTGGGTACAGAAAGTCACAGGCTCAGTCTGTCAGAGAGTACATATCCAGAAAGACCCAATATGCCCCCAGAAATTTTCACTCTAATGGTATATGGCAGAGGCTTAAGAAAGGCAGAAGCCCATGAGCAACTTATAAACATCTTGGGTGGTCTATGGACTCTGGGGTTGGGGGTACAGAAAAGGAAGTCACTAAAGGCTCTACAAGGGGTTGCTTAGGACCACTAATGGGAGTTCCTGTTATTTTTCAATTTGGACAGATTCTACAACCTTTTTTTGTAGGTCACCCATTCAAAGTTGACCAATTTGCAAGTAACAAAATAAAGGTTCTTAACTAAAATTGTAAATGAGGCATATGTTGCCTCCAAAGCCCCCTCCCCAATACTTAAAGATGCCAGTGCTCTAGCATTGTGGGGACTGACATGTTCAATAGTTGTTTCTTAATACCACAATATAAAGTGTCCCTCATCCTATCAGATGATGCCTAGAAGTTTTACTAAGGTGGCAGTGCCAGGCCATGAACTACGTGTGGGATAATGGGCCATCCCTTACGATGAGTTCCTTTTGAATGCCCATAATGAGTATGTCAAATGAATATCAGAGAAAGATTTCACTAATATAATGTCATACCTATGGTTCTGTAGAATTGTGAATGAATTGAGATAATTCTTGCAAAGACTTTGTGATGGTAGAGCTGTTGAGGTACCTCATGGATAGCCAGGTCAAGATGCATTGTCTCTCTAGAAGTGAAGACAAATATTGGCTGAGATATTGTTGAATTAGGTGTACGAAAAAACATAAACAAATCTATGACTTCAAAGAATTTTTTCAGTTGCTGATTAGTTATGTCAATGATTTCAATAATAGTGGTTATGAAGATCTCAATAGGCAAGACCATGGTATTGAGTAATTTATAGTGAGGAACTATTCATAATGCATTTGAAGATATATTAGGGTCCAAGGCCCAGGTAAAATCCATGTCAGAGGATCAGGTTCAAAATCTAAAACCAGATCTAAAGTCCATGTCCAACTTTGACACCCAGAGTCTTAGATGAAGATCAAGATCCAGGTTACTGAGACCAAGATCAAGTTCTAAACTGGGATTTAGAGCTGAGATCAAGGTTACAGGTTAAGGTCCAAGATTTAAAGTCACTTCAATATTCCTCAGCATCCAGACACAAGGTTGAAATATTATTGTTCACTTTTAAGGACAAGGTTCAGATTTGAAATCCATGTTCAAGACCCAAGAAAACTAAGGTCTAAAATCAAAGTTCAGGCCAAACCTAGGATTTATATTCAGCACAAAGATTAATGGCCAGCTTCAAGATCAAAACCTGTCAAGGTACATGTTCAAATTTTAGATCTAATATTAAGTTAGTTGTACAGGAAAAATCAAGGTGCAAAGTCAAGGTACAATCTCAGGGTATAAAATCCAAGTCCAGTAATTAGATCCAATATCCTGGTTTAAAGTCCAGTCTTGATCTACCTTCTGATTCCCAAGACCAAGGTCCAGGTCCAGAATCAATTATAAGTTTCAAGTCAGATTCATGTCTAGTATCAAAGCATGATGTCAAGTTCAAGATCACAATAAAATACAAGTCCAATTCAACATCCAAAATCCTAGCCTGAATTCAACCTCCAAACCCAAGATCAGCACTGAGATACAAGGTCCAGATAGAAAACCCCGGTTAAAGCCCAATTTGCAAGTCTAAGATTAAGTCTGAGATCCTGAACAAATGTCTAGGTTCAGGACTAGATTCTGGGTGAGTTTCTAGGTTCATATAAAATTTATGTTGAACTTTCAATATCTAGGACTGGGTCAAGATTCAGAAGAGAGGTGTAGATTCTTGGTCAGATGACAACTTAGTTACAAAACCAAGGTTTGGGTCCAATACCATGTCCAGATGTGGATGTAAAGTCTAGTTCTAAAGTCCAGTTCCAGGTTCCAGGTCTAAGGTACAAGTCTGAATTAAGAGGTCTCTTTTCAAGATCAAAGTCTATTCCAAGGTTCTAGGCAAACTGAGGTATGAAGTATGAACTTCCTCATACTTGCAGTTCCAAGGTCTAAGGCCAAATTCAAAGTTCATGTCAAGGTTCAAGAATAAAGATCAGTTTATGATCTGAGATTAGTACAATGTCCTAGTTCAAAATCTATGTCAAATATTTAGGAACAAGGTCCAACTCAAATGTTCAGGTCCAGGCTTAAAGACCACATCAATGTCTAGTATCCAAGCATGTGGTTCTGGTCCAATGTATGTACAAGGTGAAGTCCAGATCAACATTAGTGTGGGTAGTTCAAGGTGCAGATTACATTAGATCTAAATTAGACCTACATTAGAGTTTGTAGTTCCAAGACATAAGTCCAAGCAGCAGGTTCAATCTGTGGCCAAAGTCTAGCTTTAGCGTACAGAATTGAGTCTAGGTCTAAGTCCAAGATCTGTGAGCAAGCTCCAGATGTGAGTCTCAGTTCATTTTCAATCTCTATGCCCATATCTGATGCTTCAGTCACTATCCAAACCCACCTCACACACCATTACTACCTACAACCTGTCCCAAACCCACCTACTATTCTGAACCCCTATTTAACATCTTTCCCACGCCTACTTTCTTTTTTTTGATACCAGGGATTGAACTCAGGGGCACTCAACCACTGAGCCACAAAAACCCCAGCTCTAGTTTTTGTATTTTTTATTTAGAGACAGGGTCTAACTGAGTTTTTAGCATGTCACCATTTCTGAGGTTGGCTTTGAACTCGCGATCCTCCTGTCAGCCTCCTGATCTGATAGGATTACAAGTGTGCCACTGCACCCAGCTGCCATACCCACTTTCTAACTATATCCCACTTTACACTCATTATCTACCTCTACCCCCTAACAATTATCTAATTACTGCTTAACCATATCAATTCACTGTATATACCTTGCCCCACAACTAGCACCAGAATCAAGACCTCACTTCCACATCACCTTACTACTGCTCCTGACCCTAAACCAATTCATTATCTCCTATCCCGTGCCCAATCTTGGTCCTCTGCTTCTTATCTACTGGATACCCAATCCTCAACACACATCAATTCTGTACTTATATCCCTCTCAACACCCACACATTACTTACCCACTGCCTTACACATGCATACTCACCAATACTCCTTACCCCACATCCACTCACCACCTAACCCAGCTCACAACCTATTACCCATCCTTTGCTCCATACTATTCAGTACCTACACCCCAAATGGACAGAAAGTACAGGTGGGTTATAAAACATATCTACAAGATAAAACAGTATCAATCTGTCTTTGCCTGATTTGCCAACTCATTTATTCACTTATTCATTTCATAATCATTTCTTAATTTACTTTGTGCACTTATTAAATATCACAAGTTATTTTAAGATATTTAAAGAACAAATAAGATTTAAATAAGTCAACATATTTATGATTTTCCAGCTTACATAAGAATATGTATAAACAAATTTGTTATTATAATTAGTAAAATTATACTAAGATAGAGAAAAGTAAGGGGCTCTGATGAAGCATAATTGTGTCCAATTGACAGAAAAGGTTGTGGGAAAAGGGGACACATGATCTGAACTCTGAAACACAAGAGAGCTGAGAAGAGCAGCTCATGTAGAGACAGGATAAAATGAGGCACATTGAATTACAGCAAGGTGACTAACATTTACCGAGAGCTAACTTAATACTGAGCATAATTTTAAATGCCATGCATTAATATCACTTAATGCTCCCACACTTCTGTGATGGAGGGGCTATTTCATAGACAAGGAAAATGAAACTTAGAGAAGTTAAGCAACTCTTCTAAAATCTTGAGGATTCTAAACAGCAGAACAAGGACTTAAATCTGGACTATTTGAAGCCAAAACTTGATCTGTATTGCCTTTTGACACTGATAAAAAATAGTGAAATATGGGACTAGCTACATTGTTAGAATTTCATGTAGATTTTTCTGAGAAGTTTAGTTTTTTTTAAATTTTTTAGGTTTGGAAGACTATGAGAAGTCACTAAAGAGTTTACACAGTAATATTGTTTATGAGTTTTGTCCCTGTTATGGCTTGGATATGAGGTGTCTCCCCAAAGCTCATGTATGAGACAATACAAGAAATTTGGAGGAGAAATGATTAGGTTATAGCATTAACCTAATTAGTAAATTAATCCCTATGGGGTTAACTGGTAACTGAAGTGATAGGGTGTGGCTAGAGGAGGTGGAAACTGGGGCATGGCTTTGGGGTACATAGTTGTATCTGGCAAGGAGAGTCTCTCTCTCCTTTCTCATCAACATGTGAGCTGTTTCCCTCTGCCATATCCTTCCGCCATGATGATCAATCGGCCTTACCTGGAGCCCTGAGAAATGGATATGGCCTTATGTGAACTAAGACCTCTGAAACCCTGAGCCCTCAGATTAAAATTTCATCTTTTAGAATTGTTCTGCTCACATCTTTTAGTTACAGTAGTGGAAAAGATGACTAAAACAGCTCCGAATTATAAAACTAGGTTTTTTTTAAATTCTTGTCATCAAAAATGATATACAGACTCTCCTCAAATTTGTGAAATTCAGGAAAGTAAAAAAATAAAAATCATTCAATCTGTCAAAACTGAGAGTTAAGCACTGGCAGCATTGTAGTATATTTATTTCAGATGATTTTTTATTTTTTGCCATTTGCTCACTTAAAAATAGTCATTGAGGGCTGGGGATGTGGCTCAGTGGTAGAGTGCTTGCCTAGTATGTGCAAGGTCCAGGTTCAATCCTCTGCACTGCAGAAAAGAGAAGGGAAGGGGGAAAAATGAAAAAGAATAGAAGGAAAGAAAAAAGAAAAGAAAAAGCCATTATAAAAGATAATCACTGAGAGATAATTGCTACTAAGCACATTACTAGGCATGGTGATACACTCATAAATAAGACAAATACATCCCCTCTCCTTCACCATTTAGTGTTGGGGCCAAGTACTGAACAAAAAAATTATAGATTCCATGTGTACCGTAATGGAGAGGTCCATGGAGCATGAAATATAGGGACCCAACCTGTCTGACAGTCCAGTGATATTTTCAAAGTTAAATCTGAGATATAAAGATCACCAATTGGCTGGGAGAAGAATAAAGGAAAAGATTCCAAATGAAAATAACACTATATGATGAAGGCATTTAAATGGGGGAAAGTACAGAATAATATTTGTTGTGGTTAAAGAATATAGAATAAGGTAGGGATTGGCACATGAAGTCTTTATATAGCTTGACAGTGACCAGCTCATACAGGACTTTGGAAGCCATTTAAGGAATTTATCCCACAAGTAATGGAAAGTTGATAAGGCTTCTTCAGTAGCATCATTAAATGGAGACATGAGGATGTCTAATATTTCACTCTGGATCACTGAAGCTTGAGTAGGTGATGTGGGAGATCATTGTGAACAGGTTCCTGATGATAGACACTGGATTGGAATAGTGGTGTATGTGTGTGTGTGTGTGTGTGTGTGTGTGTGTGTGTGTGTGTGTGTAGGTATAAGCCTATGTGTGTGTGTAATCATCTAGAGAGAAAAATCTCAGTTTACAAATTTAATGAAAGACAAAACACTTCCTAAAAATTCACTTTAAGTATTTCACTTATATATTTCATTCTCAGCTCCAGTATCTCTATTTGCCCTGTGATCACCTTTTCTTCTCCTCTATTTTTTTCCTTCATTTTCTCTCAGACACACACTTTTCACTTTCACTGCTTCTCTTCTTATATAAGGCAATTTTAGTTCTAGTTGAATCCTTTGATTTCTCTTATCACTCTGCCCAGTAATTTGTAAGTTCACTGATCACCCATTTCTCATCTTCTTGCATCTACTTCATTAGAAGGCAAGAGGTAGATTGTAAATAAAATGTGTATTACTTTTATACTAAGCTCACTAATCTGTATTAAAATTATTTGACTGCATGGTATAAATTGAGAATCTTTTCTTAATCCAGATACTTGGTCAGTTTTTCCAAAACCATAGACTGAGCAGTCTTTCTCTTTCTCTTTTGCTTTATTAACAGTATTTAGACATACTAGGTGTATTTTGAGTCTGCTTTTTTTTTGTTGACAATAATAAGTTATTTTCAGTAATTTATTTAAGTATAAATGTATTACTATTAAACACCAATCAGAATATAAAACATGACTAATGGGATTAAACCTAAAAATTCCTACATGCTATCTACATGAGACTTCATTTAGTTCTGAGCCTTTTAGTAACAATGAAAGGATGAAAAGAATATTACATGAGAACATGAACAAAAAAATCAGAGACGGCAATAATTATGTTATGCAAAAAAATTTAGAAAAAGTTATTTGAGATAAAATGCTTAGTGAAAACATTTTTTTCCCCATTAAATCCTGACAATTTATTTCCTTTTAGTGGAGTCTGCTTCTTTAAAGTATTTCATCAATTTTCTAATACCATTAAATTTTTTTTAATATTTCTTTGGCTGGTCTCATCTTTTTCTCCAAAGACCTGGAGAATTATTGAATTATACTTTTATTAGAGTATTACAGAATTTAAAATATCAAATTATGCTGAATAAATAAATTATTTAGATCCATGGAAGTAGTTACTTTTTAGTAGTTGATTTTTAAAGTCATAAACTATTAGTTTTTCTCAATATATTCTAGTCTATTTTATGTTTTTGGTAATAATTTTTTTCTCATATTGCTCTCACACATTTCTTAGATAGTATAGGCTTTTATTGCCATTGTTAATTGTTTTTCCAATACATTATATACAGTTATACTATTCATTAGCCACTTAATGAATATTTATTTAACACATATCAAGTGTCAGGCACTGTATATAATTGGCACTGATAAGCAAGACAAACTTGGTATGCTAAATATTTTTAAAAGAGAGAACAAATGTGCTTTTGCATTCATAACAGAAGGCCGTACCTCATATGTTCAATGAAATGTCTTAATGAAATGATACATGATGACATTTTTTAATGAAATAATACTTAAAGTAAGTGATCTCAAAAGGTATCTCCTAGATGACATTTTGAAACTATGTGCATACAACTTCAGTTGTCAAAGGAAATGAAGGTGCTTCTGACACATTATGCATAGTAGATATAACCGACCGTTTTGTATTGAAGGATGCATTGTAACCAAGTAAAAATATTACAAAACTAAATTGGAGACAGAGAACAGAGATAAATAGCTAGGAACTTTTAGAATAACCATAATGAATAGCTAACATTGAAACTCAGGACAAAACTATAAAAATTGTAATAGTCTATCACTGGCATAGGAATAGACAAGATAGTGAATAAGAACCACGTACAAAATGAATTCCTGTACCTTATAAAAATGGCATTTTTAGTCAGTTGAGAAATGATGGATCAATCAATTGTGCTGAGATAATCATCTAACAGTATAGAAAAAATCAAATTTGATTTTACTTTAGGATATTCATCCAAATAAATTCTAGATAGATGATAGATATAAGCAAGAAAATAAGATCACATAAAGATAAGAATATATATAGGTAAGATAATATCCTTTAATTCTTGAAATACAGAAATTTTCTTAAGCATATTATCAAAGAAGGCAAACAGAAATGATTGATAATCTTGATAATTTAAAATGTGAATGTTTATATGTCAAAAATATACTACATTTGGACTAGATATTAAGTGATATAAAATTATTGTCAATTTCATCATGCATAGCAATAGTATGTGTTTATACAGAAAATTCAATATTCTTAGAGATATAAATTGAAGCATTTAGGGGTGATATGTTGTTATTTCTATAATTATTTCCTGGTCCTTTAGCAAATTACATAGAGAACACACCAAACAAATATAGAAAATTATTAATAATTTCTGAAGACAGGTAGAGAGTATATCAGTATTTGTTGTGTTAACTTAATGCTTCTAGAAAATATTCATGTGACTAAGGAAAAATACACTGAAAACAAAATTAATAGGCAAACTATACACTGAAAATTTCATTGTAACAGACTGTGCCAGGGGAAATAGTGAAATTTGCCTTAGCATGAAAAGGTTTGGCCATTTGCCATATAAACATGTATCTTTCCTTCATCTAGAAAAAAATGGAAAATTGACACCAGAGGATCATAAAAGGCTTTTATATGAATTATAACAAAGAATGAGAGCACACAGGCTAAAGTATGTGATAAAGATAATTATAGTTTGTTCTGTATCATGAAAATGTTCTCATGCATGTTTCATTATAATATTTCTATTAGAGTATAAAGGAAGTCCAAACCTCTGTTCCCTGAAGAAGAGAAAAAGAATTGGATGACATCATTGCCAGTCATTCCTCGTATTAAAGAGAAGGCAGATGGACAAAGAGATGCCAGAAGATGGCAGAGAGAATCTGGCAGCAAACCACAACCCTTTCACAGCCAAGAAGGGAAGAAGTAAAAGAATAACTGACCAGAGAGGTGAGTGACAAAGTAAATACTGTAAAAACAAACAAACAACAACAAAAAAAAAACCCTCAAAATTGAACAGCTTGGGACCTAGAGTGGTTTGGGGTTTAGTTATTGGAATAGAAAATAATACTTAACCCCAAATACTGAAAGACAATTACAGACCATCTCCTCAGATCCAGCAGAGACACACCAAGGATTGGAGGGGCCCTCCTAGAATTGCATTGGAGGTGAGCTTTTGTTATCACTATCTCCATATGCAGGAAAATGCAGAAGGTAAAGCTGAAGAGCAGTAGGCATCTTGTAACGATCCCAAATCCTGACAAAATCCAAATCAGAAAGACTCAATAAAAAATTTCTCCACCTCAGCATGGATTATCATAAACAGCTCTAATGTTAAGTTTGATCTTACATATATACATTTTCATAATGAATTGATAGATGTTTCCTTATTATTCAATACTACACCTTCAACCAATTTGATTATATTTCTTCTAATGTATAAAATATTGACAGAAATAATTCTAACTTTGTTTTCGTAGCTCACATTTACATTCTCTATTCTTAGTCTCTCTTTTCCCTTTTGTATTGCTGTTCTTGCCTCAAATCCATCCCATCTATCTTTGTCTTTTTATCTTAGTTTGTAATGTTCTTCTCTATCTTTTCCATTTTCTTTCTTTGCACAAATTTTCTCTCCTCTGCCTTTCAGCCCCTTTGTACTGTAATAGATGTCTTTTATATTTAGTAACTAATTTCTCAACCTCTTCCATAACATTACTGAAATTTTACATCTAGATTACAGGAACTGTGGAGAATATTTTCAACTAGTTTTTTTCCCTATTGTTTATTAGTACATGGCTTTGCTCTGAAGTGATTGCAATTAATAGGGTTTAAGGTCTTCTTTCAAATTTTTACTGCTTCTGGGAACAGCAGAAAATACATGTAGAGTGGGAGCACATACATATTCACCCAACCCAGGGCAATTAAGAGAAAGAAGCTCACTAAATAGTCCCTTGCATAAAAATAGAAGAGATAATTATTCCAGCAGATGGGTAGCCATACAAACAGTGCAAAAAAAACAAGGGCACAAACCACACCAGCCAGCCCACAATTCTTCAACAAATGATCCCATTGACACCACAGTGAAGGAAATGTTGGAAAAACAATTTAGAAAATGTAAGGAATTAACTTAGAAAATATAGAAAATGAAAGTTTATTTCAATAAAAAGAGATTCTAAAAAATAATCAAACAGAAATTCTAGAAATGAAAGACTCAATAAATCAAATTAAAAATTCAATTGAATACATCATCAATAGA